AGTAAACCTTGATAACGGTCCCAGGGCCCCGCGAGGACCCCTCCTCGAGGCCGAACGTGGGCAAAAACCTCCGGTCATATTTTGCTTCATGACGCCGAGGAGGAGGGGGTAACCTCGAACCACTACGTAGAAAACATCTTTCTGCGGCGCTTCTCGAGCCGTATCACGATGTCTGATGGTCCTGCGACCTCAAAGCGGACGAAAGCGCCCTGTGCGAAAAATGTGGTAACGCCTGGATTCCAGGGAATCTGAATAATTGGAGGGAGAGTTGCGTCAAGTTTCTGGTGTAAGTAACGCTTCGCGCTCCTGCCAGAGCGCTCCTCAGCCGAATGTCTGCAACGGTATGCTTGCATTGGGATGGCGGCAATGAGCTCTTGCCCACCCTGCCCTCCGCCCGGCACAAAGCTGCGCCGCCAAGCTTGAAAGAAGAGGCTCCTGGCGGCCCGGTACGCGACTAGAACATGCAAGTCTGGTATCCCTGTGATGTCAGCACTTGCCTGCTGCAACGAAAGGGTTCTGCTTTCAAACCGTCTCTTGGGTGTCCGCCGTCCGTTGGGAGCCGTCCTGGCAGCCCCGGACCGCTCTCGGCGAGGCGCCGCTGCCGGGACGCATGCCGAGGCAGGAAGAGATCCAGGAACCGCCCCTCCTCCAGCCATGAGCTGGCAACCTCCCAGAGCCGCCTGGACCTCTGGGAATCTCGCGGAGGAGGAGGAGGAGGAGGAGGAGGAGGAGGAGGAGGAGAAGGAGAAGGAGGAGGAGGAGGAGGAGGAGGAGGAGGAGGAGGAGAGGAGGCAGAGGAGGAGGAGGAGGAGGAGGAGGAGGAGGAGGAGGAGGAGGAAGAAAAGGGAGCGAGGGAGGAAGGGAGGGAAGGGAAGAGGAGGAGATTCCTGAGGAGGTTGAAGCGTCTGGGGAGGAGAAGGCCTGAGGAGGAGGAGGAGGAGGAGGAGGAGGAGGAGGAGGAGGAGGAGGAGGAGGAGGAGGAGGGAGGGAGTGGGGGAGGGAGGATGGGGAGGAGGAGGAGGAGGAGGAGGAGGAGGAGGAGGAGGAGGAGGAGGAGGAGGAGGAGGAGGAGGAGGGGGGGGAGGGGGGGGACCCCGAGGAGGACCCCCCCACGCAAGAGTGACCCTGGGCAAGAGTGCCCTCTAGTGCATGGCACTCAGACGCGGCGGGGAGGCCGAACACGTGTGCGCAAGCTGAGCTCGCACTCAGCCATCTGAGGTCCCCAGTGTTCGGAGGCAACTAACTACTGGGAGGTCCTCGTCGGAAGGAACAAAAAGGATTAAGCTTCATTGGGAGGCTACTGCGCCGGATTAGGCCGCGGATTAAGCGGGATTAAGCGGGATTGCTTTAGCGAAAGTAAGCGGGAATGAGCCGGATTAAGCTGGGTGTCGGACCAGAGCAAAGTCAGAATTTAACCTCCCAGGAGTTGCATACGAAACAGTGTGCCCGCATCAAGTGATTATTAACAACTAAAGGACCCAAAACCTCTGGGAGCGGACCTGAATTAAGAGGCCCAGAACACTAAGGATCGGGGGTCTTTCCAACAACTGTGTCGAACCAAACCACCCGGATAAAACTGATCCGTAATGCAAAGACAGATACCTGAATGCAGCTCCGTCTTCATGGTGGTATGAGGGTCAGGGGTTCTTTTACTTGGCGGCTCGCACAAGGGGGCAGGGGGAGAGGGGGGAAGGCTTCTTGGAAGCAGGCTGCTTCATATAAGGCGCGGGCCTCACATCTAAATATAGGGCCGCGCCCTCTGAGAAGCAGGGGTGCTTCGAAGAAGCCTTCCCCCCTCCCCCTGCCCTGGCTCCCTTTTTTCTAACAGCAACGTCCACGCCCCCTGAACCCAGGTATTCACCTGGAAAAAACACCTGCAACGGAGGGTGGCGCAGGCGCAGGGCACGTCAGCAGACGTGGCTGCCAACCTCTGCGCGTGGATGCTTTATTCCCGATGATCAGAAGTCCCTCCGGCGAAAGGTCGCTCCTCCCAGACATCTGTCGTCTTGATTGTTTCGAGACGCGGGCCCCAAACCTCTCGACCACTTCCCCAAGACGGGTTCTTCATCCCGAGCCGTTTGAAGCCAGGGCGAGGATAAAATCAGGCGAGGATAATTCGAGAACCTCTAAGAGCCAGCTTCTGGAGGACGTCTCGGGCACCGCGGCCATCGCAGAGCGTTCCAGAACGCTCTGGAACGGATTTCTCCTCGTCCGAGACCCGTCCTATATGAGGGCCTCGAGGGGCCGAACACTGGGAAAAACCTCCGCCTCGATCTTTTCGAGGCGCGCTGGACGTCTGGGTGGCGCGTCGCGGCGCGAACCTCCCGCAGGAGCGCGGCGCCGGCCTCGCCGAGGGCGGCCGCCGCCAGCGACGCTCTCGCGACGCTGGCGGTCATGGCGACGCTCTCGCCGGCCGCCCGGGCGGTCTTGGCCACCCTCTCGCCGGCCACGAGCGCGGTGCCACCAGCCATGCGGGCGGCCTCGGCACGGAGAGGAGGCCTCCTCCTCTCCCTCCTCCTCCTCCGCCTCCTCCGCCTCCTCCTCCTCCGCCTCCTCCTCCTCCGTTCATGGTCTCTGTAAGCAACCTCTCCCAGTCGCACCCCAGGAGATGGGGCAGGAGGAAGAGGAGGGAGGAAGAGTTGGAGGAGGAGGCCCGGCTCGGCTCTGTTCTCGGGGATGCATGCAGTCTGATTCGTGCTGCGCGTGCTGCCCTCTACAATTGGATTTGACCGCGAGGGCATGTGCTCGGAGTGTCATTCATGCCCGAGTGGGCGAGAAGGTGCTCTACGAGCGGAAAGGCACCCGCACTTCCTCCTCGAAGCGGGGAGAAGGAGGAGGAAGATGAGGAGGACCAGTGTGACCCCGAGACGCGTCAACGATGCTGCAGTAGGCCTTCCCTCCGAGCTCCCTCTTCGCAGGTCCCCTGCGAGAATGTATGTGGATTGCGGGAGCAGCTCCATTGAACAACCACAGTCTGAGAATCCCCTCTCACACCAGAACGCAATTCCTGGGACTGCAACACCACGAATCAACGTGACTGGTGCGTCCTGACATGCCTGATTCGTGCCGGAGCACAGTCCCTGGTACTTCCGCATGTCGACGGGAAAGCTGCGTCCGTACAATTCGAATTCATGCAAGACTTCCATTCCTGCGACTTCATCACTACGAACCCCTGAAACTGCTGCAACCTGTTGAAACATGTCAGCGGCGCTGAGGCGAGAGCCACATTTTGAAAAGGAACCGCCCTGCGTCCCTGAAACTGCTGCAAAGTGTTTGTTGTAACGAATGCGCGCGGTGCTAAGGCAAGAGCCACATGTTGAAAAGGACCAACCACCCATCCTTGAAGCTGATGTAAGCTATAATGAGGAATGTGCGCGGCGCGCTTCACGGTCATAAATGGTGATGGGGTCTCAAGCGAAACGCCCGTTCGGCCATGCCGACACGTCTGGGGGCGCGACAGGGAGAAGCTATACAAGGACAAGGGATGCAGGAGGCAGGAGGATGGGTGAGTAGGAAGTCAAGGAGGAAAGAGGAATAATGAGAACGGAGGATCGGATCGGACACTTCGGAGAATGCTTGAGCTTTCCAGCAAAGGGGATGGGGGTGGAGACAGTGGGCCGCGAACAACTCGCAGCTCAGGGCTCCTATCCTCTCCATTCTTCCTGCCAGGAGGCCGAAGCCCTTGGTACGGCCGTCCAAGCGGCGCCCTCAGCATACGAGGAGAAGGAGAAAGGAGTATGGGGGAGGATGGGGGAGGACAAGGAGGAGGAGGAGGAGGAGGAGGAGGAGGCGGAGGAGGAGAGGAGGAGGAGGAGGAGGAAGAGGAGGAGGAGGCAGTCAACATACGCATAAACTCTGTGAGGTCCGCGCGGAGTTGTTCAATCCGCGTTGGGTCCTTCTCCAAGGCGCGCGGAGCGCGCCTGGGGCGGCGTCGGAGGCACCGCTAGAGGGGTCCAGCGCAGATCGAAGAAATCCGCGCAGACCTCCAAAAGTCCATGCTGATGCTGGTACAGGTCGGTCGGAAGAAGCAGGTAAGCACATGAAGAACTAGGAAGGCGGATAAAGTAGACTTGGGCCCAGGAGCTCCCAGAGAACACCACAACACAGCAAAAGCATACCGATTCTTGAAGTGGGAAGGCGCTTGAAGTAGATTGGGACTTGGGAATTCAAAAACACCGACTTAGAATAATAATAATAATAATGATAAGAATACGAACACTAATAATAATAATAATAATAATAATAATAATAATAAGAAAAAGAAGAAGAAGAAAAGCGGAATTAAAATTATGTTTTGACGCTCAGCGCGGACTTCTGGGATCCGCGCCGGACCCCCCTCCCCGGCGCGCGGAGCGCGCCAGGGGGAGGGGGCGGCGCCGGAGGCGCCGCTGGGAAGGGGCCCAGCGCGGATCCAAGAAGTCCGCGCGGGGCGCCACAAGCTTGTGCTTACGGCGCTGCTTCTTGTTCTTCTTCGACCACCCGCACCGGCCGGCGTGTCTTTCTTCGGCGGGGCCTGCTCGACGTTCTTGGCGAGGAGATTCAGGTTCCTGCGCAGGGAGGGGGCTCTATACATATATATATATATATATATACATACATACGCGGCGGGTGCGGGGCGGGCCCGAGGCCCCTGGAGAGGCCGCCGTGCGAGAGGCGCGCCGCCGAGGGCTGAGTGGAGCACAAGGGGGGCGCAGAGTGGACGAGAGCAGGAGGAGGAGGAACGAAGAAGGAACGAGGAGGAGGAGGAGGAGGAGGAGGAGGAGGAGCAGGAGGAGGAGTAGGAGGAACGAGGTGGAAGGAGAAGGGGAGGAGGAGGAGGCGGAGGAGGAGGAGGACGAGGAGGAGGAAGAGGAGGAGGAGGAGGCGGAGGAGGAGGAGGAGAGGGATGAAGAGGAAAGGGATGGAGCAAGCAGCGGGGGAGCGGGAAGGAGACCACCTCTGGCCGCCTGCGCCGACCCCCCGGGCGTGTTGGAAAATGATAGGGGGGCATGACATCGGGGAGATGGTTTGGCCCCGGCAAAGATATCCACACCCCCTAGTCCTCTCACCCGCTTGTGGACTCCCCCAGCATCTGCTCACCGTGCTTACGTTGCGTGCCTGCTGGGCCCGATACCACTCCAGGACATAGTTCTTCTCCGTGGGCCTCGCGAGGTGCGCTCGTTGCGCCTCTGCTGCGCTGGGGAGGCACAAAAAACGATGCCGCCACTCCTCGGACCTCCCTCTGGAGGCGAATTCTGCGGTGGCGACGAGGGCCTCCCAGGAGGCCCCCAAAGGCGAAAACAAGGCAGGGGCTGGAGGCCTGAAAATGAGCACAACCACAGCACAGAGGGTGGCCTCCACTGGGGGAGATGATCCTGGAATGTTGGCGCTGGTGGTAATCGTTCGGCCACCTCGTAAGCCTGAGTATTACCACCATCACCGAGATCGGGATCATCTTTCCTCGGTGGAGGCACACCGCCGATATTAGAGAAGGAAAAACACATAAACATAAACTTTCGACGGTCTGCGCGAATTTCTTGGATCTGCGCTGGGCCCCCCTCCCTGGCGCGCCAAGCGTGCCAAGGGCCCAGAGCGTTAATGAAGTTATGTTTTCTTCGAGACCACCAGCGCCATCGCATTCACCAACGCTGTCGCTGTTGCCGTCGTCATTGCCACCACAGCCGCCAACACCGTCGCCGTCATCACTATCGCGTCACATGCTCCCCAACCCCATGCCAACTAATATCTGCCCGACGTCCACTGGATCCCCTCCCCCTGGCCTTCCCGTAGAGGCCTCCTATGTGGGGTCCGACCAGATGGGGTCGGAGGACATCGGGCTCCACATCGAGCCGGATCGCCGATGCATCGGCGATGCGGCGCGATCCTCCGACACCATCTGCGCCGACCCCACCTTGGAGGCCAAGACTTTGCCCAGAGTGCGTTCTGGATCTGCCTTATGCAAAGTGCGTTTTGTGTATCTATATACACACACAAGACTGCAGTGGCGCTTCGCGCCATGCACCTTGGTCCGTCAAGTTTGGTATGCTGGCGGGATGGCAGGAAAATCAAGCCGACAATTTAGCGATAACTCCTTGTTGCCTTTTCCAGCATCGCCGCTAAAACGATTTTACTCGTTATCCTTCCTCCATGTTTATTTTTCTTCGTTCTCGCCATACCCTGCGCATGTTCCCCATCCTCCTCAGCTCTTTTTGCGGAGGCTCCTCCTTGGAGAGCCTCTGGGGGCCTCACACAAGTTTCAAGCTTTCTTAAGGCCTTCTGGAGGCCTCCTGGGCGTGTTCCGGAGGTTCTGGAGGCTTCCTCGGGCCACCCTGCCTCCAACCTCGGTCTCCCTGAACGACCAGGTCACGATTTGGACTGCTTCGGAAGGTATCTTGGGGCCGTCTTGGGCCGCCATGGGGCTCTCTTAGGGCCATATTTGACCCCTGTTGTGCCGTTTTGGGGCTCTCTTGGACTGCCTGGAAGCCCTTTCGGATGGTTGCGAGGCGATTTTGGAGCCTCCCAGGCGGCTTCGGACGCCCAGAATACTGCCGTATTGGAGCGTCGGGAAGCCGAAAAGAGGAGAACCCCAAAATTCACCAAAAACCATTAGAAAATCAATGATTGTTTGCCTCTTGCGGCCTTCTTGGGAGTGTTCTTGGAGGCTTTTTGAGGCCTTTGGGGCCGTCCTGGAGGCCTCTTGGGCCATCTTGAGGTCACGTCGGTCACTCTTGGAGCGCTCTTGTGCTGTCGTGGGGGTCTCTGGGACGTCTCCGATGGCCCCCCTGATCGCCCTAGGTGTGCTGGGAAAGCTTGGCAAAACGTCCTGCGAGGCCCGGGGGGCCACTTCGAGGCCCGTCCGGAGGGTCCCAAAGCCCCAGATCCAGGGAGTCTGTTTTTTTATATACAGATCTGCATGTACATGTGTTCATATTGCCCTATTCGCCATTGGTATCTCTTGTCTGCGCGTGTTGCTGCCGTAGGGTATCACGCCCTCCGGCTCGGCCTGCGGAGCGAGGTGCCTCCATGGGCTCCTCGACCGGACTCGCCTGGACCGGTCACCTCCCCCGGGCCCACCCGCATCGAGCCTGCCGAGCTGCCAGCTTGTGAGCATGGGCCCGAGCACGCCTCTGGCTCGCGCGCCCACCACCCCCTTCGGAGGGCGCGGCGGGATCCTCCTGAGGACGCCCGTCGTCGAGCTGTCGTGGACCACCTCCGCGGGCGCATCCGTCTCCACGGTGAGGCTGGCAACCTGGTTCCGTCGGGGGGGGGCAGGAGAGCGGGGCTCACGCGGGGCGAACAGATCCGCATCCGTGCCCTCGCGGTCCAGACTCAGGGGCACGATCCCGCGGATGCGCGGCCGCACGGGTACGTTCTGCGCGGGGCATCCGGGCATCCGCAGAAAAAGAGCCCTCTGTCCGCGGGGTAGCAGCCCAGGCCTGCGAGGACGCGGACACGAATAAGTGGTTCGCCCGCGACAGGAGGCGGGCAGGTGCTGACGGGGACAGGAGGAAGGAGCCTCGCAGGCAGACAGTGGCGAAGGAAGGGGCGTGAGAGAATGAACCGAAACTTCAAGTCGGCACGACGGCCCCGCGCTGCGGAGCCCGCACAACCGGGCCGAAAGGTTCGGAGCCATCGGTAAGGCTGCGGATGACGTGGGGCCCGTGTTTCCTGAGCGGACAGCAGTCGATTTTGGACTGTGTGGGCGTGGGGGGGACAGGTTGAAGGTGGGAGGAGGAGGGACGAGGAGGGAGGAAGGAGGGATGGGGGAAGGGGGATGGGCAGGAGGAGCGGGGAGAGTGCGTGCAAGACGGAAGCCAGGACCACGACAAAATCGGACTGGGATAAAGCAGGGATCACCGAGACCTGGCGGTTCGGGAGGACGTATCGGGCGACGCCGCGGCCCCTCCAGGGTGCTCAGGAACGCTCTGAGAGCCCCGCCCAGAAGGTCACCCGATCTCTACCACGATCATGATTTCCATAACCATCGCGACCCCCCAAGGTAACGGCGGCCCTCAATTGTTGCTCTACATCGGTGCTGCCACGCTGCCTGGCGAAGGGGGTGAGGGGAGAAGAAGCAGGCAGACGGCAATGACGACGAGCGAGCAGGCGGGGAGGTGGCCGGCACTTCACACGAAGGCGCACGGAGCACCGAGCAGTCGTGAGGTGGACAGGCATGGGGCAACTGGCGGAGGGCGAAATTCTCGCAGTCAAGCGAAAGGGAGTGGTGGAGAGCAGCACGAAAGGGGGTCAGAGCAAATACATACGTAAGCGACGAAGCACAATGAGAAAACGGAGAGACCGAGAAAAGGTGAGAGGAACACAGGGAAGGAACAGTCGGAGAGGAGCTGCCTCTCCTTCGCCGGGCTCTGCTCAGCTGTTCCCCCGCAGAGCCGCGTGGAATTCTCTGCCCGGCCGCGGGGAAACCAACAGGCACCGACACCGCTTCTCCCCAGACCTCTCCCGGGGTGCTTTCTGACCAGGCTATCGAGGCGAATCCAGCGGTGGCGGTGAGGGCCTCCCAGGAGGCCCAGAGAAATGGGAAAACGCGGCAAGGGTAGCACTAGGTCGGGCATGTCCCCCCACAGGCGGATCTTGGATGACAGATGAAGAACACTCGGAACCACTTCTGACTATGTTTGAAGCTTCCCTCTGTAGAGGGACAGGCCCGACTGAAGGGTAGCAGCCTGGGCACCTCTTCCTCCTCGGAGGAGCCGGGCGGAAGCCTGCGCCCGCCGAGGGAGGGTCTGACTGCTCTTGGCGGACTGGCCGACGGGCAGGCTGACGTCGACGGACAGCTCGGCAGCCCACATCGGGGACAGTGTGGGGGGCATCCAATAAGGAAGTGTCAGATAAGGAAGCCAGGGTCTGGAAGCCACTGATCTGAGCCTTCCCCAGGACAAGCGTTCCCAGACCCCTGACGCTATGATTCTTTCACAGCGTCGACCCCCAAAGGTCTCGACCCATTCCACGGGACCGGTTTGTCCTGAGTCGCCTTTTGACGGTCCCGAGGCCCAGTCAGGGCACCCACTGGGACGGGCGTGAGGGTTGCTAAGGGGATATGGGGGCTTTCAGTGTGGGTTATACCTGGCCTGACCTAGCTCGCTAGTGGGTTGCTAATGTCCCAAGTGGCGTTGAGGGGATAGCGATCCAGGCTACGTGGGCTCCGCCCACTCAGCGGAGTTGCCTGAAATCCCCCCAGGCCACTTTGGGCATGTCTGACCCACTGATAAGCTAGGTGCGGCCAGGTCTAACACCATTGGCGTCCACTGACAACCCTCCTATCCCCGTGGCAACCCCGGCGCCCATCCTAGCAGACGGGGGCTTATGTCGGGGCAGAAGCAACGACGTCACAGGAGGGCACAAAGGAGGAGGAGGAGGAGGAGGAGGAGGAGGACGAGGAGAAGGAGGAGGGGGAGGAGGAGGAGGAGAAGCAGGAGGAGGAGGAGGAGGAACCGAAGAAGGAGGAGCAGGAGGAGGAGGAGGAGGAACCGAAAGAGAAGGAGGAGGAGGAGGAGGAGGAGGAACTGGAGGAGGAGGAGGAGGAGGAGGAGGACGACGAGGAGGAGCGACAAACCCTCTGTCGTGATTTTCGTCGTGGCCCGAGGGCTTCCATGGCTCGCTCCTTCCTGCGGGCCTGGCGGCCCCATGGGGGCCCCCGTAGCACGGAGTGCCTGTGCAGGGGCGCATCTTGGCGGCGGCCGCGCGGCACCTCCAGAGGGCCCGCCTCCCCCGGGGCACCACCTCGGCGGCGCGCACAAGGGGGTGGGGGGACGGGCGCGGGGGTTGCTAAGAGGATAGGGGGCTTATCAGTGGAGCCAAAGTGGGGTATATCTGGCCGAACCTGGCTCATTAGTGGGTTGCCCCTGCCCCCAGAGGCTTGGGGGGTTTAGCGATCCGCTATCCCCCTGTCCCCTTAGCAACCCCCCTATCCCCTTAGCATCCACTGAGACCCACCTATCCACTCAGCAACCACCGCGCCCATCCCAGTAGGGGGAGGGGGAAGGCTTCTTAGAAGGGGACTGCTTCTTAGAAGGCGCGGGCCTTGTCTGTAGATTGAAGGCCGGCGCCTTCTAAGAAGCAGACTCCTTTCCAGGAAGCCTTCCCCCTCCCCCTACCCTCCTCTGCGCGTGGCCGGCCACCCCTGGCTCACCGAGGCCCGGCGCTGCGACGCAGGAGGCGCAAGGCCACAGATCACGACAGGGCAGAAGCACTGGCAGACCCTCGTGCGTCCCCAAACCCCCTCGGGAAATGAACAAAAATCATGACGGGAGGTTTTTCGATACTTTCGGCCTCCAAGGGCCCTCGCCAGGCCTCGGGACTATCAAAAAAAGGTTCAGGCTGAAGAGCCAGTCCCCAGGAAGGGGTCCAGGCTCCGGGGGGGTCAGGTCAAGAAAATTCACAACGTTGGGGGTTTGGGGGCCACAGATCACGACCCGACAAAAGCCCTGGTAGGCCCTTCTCCGACGACGTGCGTCAGACCCGAACATCTAGTACAGCCGTCCTCGTGATCTGTATCAGAGTGAGGGGGCCGAACGGACATGAACTGTCCCTGGTCACAGATCACGACCAGACAGAAGTACTGGTCTTCTGGACGAGACAAGCAATCCCCACCCCCACCAGGGAAACCTTGGCACCGCTGGGCAATATGCCCCCCCTGCGGTGGGGATGGGCACCGTCTCCTGCACCCATCCCCACCTAGAGGGGGAACACTGGAAGCGCCAACTTACCCCTCCCCAGTGGGGGTGGGGATGACTCCGACGATGATAGGATATGTGTTTATGCGTCCCTAGACTCGGGACGCTAGTAGTATTACGTGTCCTCCTCCGACGCGTGCGTCCGACCCGAACAAATAGCACAGCCGTCCGTGCGAACATACACATACATATATACATATATATGTATATATATATATATACATATATCGTTTCCCGAGCGCCACGGCCAGAACATGCCCGCCACCGAACATGTACCGGAAGATTTCTCGGCGCGCGCGCGTGGCCCTTTCGGGGGCGACGTACACACAGTACTGGTATGTCTGGGTGGCGTCGATAGGCCCAATCTTTCTACGGTGGAGAGCCCCTGGCCCGAGAGACGAGGCAACAACATCGCTCGTGACGAAGCAAAAACGCGACGCACAGATCTCAGGGGTGGAGCCTGGGGGGCCCGATGTAACGGGGACGGGCGGGGACCAAGGGGTGGAGGGGCAACGAAAAGGGGCAGGGGACTGGCGCAGGGGGGGTGGGGGGAAACGTCGCCCTGCGTGGAATCGGCGGTACGTCGCCGATGGATCACCGACAGGCCCAAGATAGCAGATACGCGCGTTCCTGGGCCACGTGGGGTTGTCAGACCCCTATCGGCGATCCACGAGCGACTGGGGGTCGATGCGCTCCCCCCTTGAGCGTATCCCCCCGCGTACACTAGGAACTCGACCACAAGAAACTTTTTTTCACAAAAGTCCCAACCCTGAGACCCCAGGACGTCCATTTATATGTTTGGTGTGGGAACGCCACGGTTCCCGACGCAAAACCATCGAAACCCACGACACCCAGGGTACCCTGGAGGAAAGGAGGGTGTTTTGTTGGCACGGGTTTCCACTGTATCACTGCCCCTGCAGGGGCAAGGGAGGGGGGAAGAGCTCGGAGGCGGCCGGGGAGTCTGAATTGGCAAGGGCCTTGGATAATCAGCCAGGAAGGGGAATAGCCCCCCCCCACATATATATATATATATATATATATACAAGCACATATACATATATAGATATATACACATACGCATTATCAGAATGAGGGGGCTGAACCGAAAGGTCATTCACTGTCCCTGGGTGCGTGGCTGAAGTGGAATTCCGCGATGCGGGTTGTTGTTGCTGTTGTTGTTGTTGCTGTTGTTGTTGTTGTTGTTGTTGTTGTTGTTATGACCTGGCCGGAGGCCGGAAGCTTTGTACGCACCGGCGGGCTCGCAGACGGGCCCGTTGTCAATTTTGGCTTAAGACTCGCACACGCGATCATTTGAATGCATTGTGCCTCACTCTGCACCGATTGTTCCCTACCTAGGCTCTGCCTAGAAGGGTTCTTACTCTCTTAGCTTAAAGGGGCCGGGCAGTGGAACACGCCCCGGGCGGTTCCCCCAGTCCCCTGGGAGCGGTTCCCCCCAGTCCCCTGGGAGCTTTAGCTTTAGCTTTAGCTTTAGCTCTAGCTTTAGCTTAGCTTTAGCTTAGCTGTAGCTTAGCTGTAGCTTAGCGTTTCGCTTAGC